TTGCAAAGACTAAAGTCTCAAATCCAAAGAGATATTCTTTATAAAAGTTGAGTCAACCACGCCTACCTAAAACGGCTTGTTCTAGCACCCCGACATGTCTACGTCACGATGTGGGAAGATTTGCATAACGCCGCCCAAATGTTCACGCAGAGAAAGAAGGCGTAACATTTTATTCTCGCTGTAGTAGTGTTGTTGCCGCCGCCACCATGTCGTGAAGGCGCTGTGTTTCGTTGTAAAAGCGAAACTACTTTGTTTGGCCTTCCAAAAGAGGACGATATCTGGTCGCTGAGGAAATACAACAACTTTGCGCTGTGGATCACTGGATCGGCTTTCACCGTGGACGAAGCGGAGTCCAGCCCGGGGTCGTCACATGTGGTTACCGCAAGCCCGCCGGCCGCGCCGTTCTCAAGCCCACCGGTCTCTGCTCACTCAAGCCGGTCTCTGCTCACTCAAGCCGGCCTCCGCTCACTCAAGGCCACGGTGTGTGATGCTTTTTTGTTGTGAACGCGAAACTACTTTTTTTGGCCTTCCAAAAGAGGACACGACTAGAAATCAGTGGTTAAGTTGTATTTACAACACTGTTCCAGAGCAGTTTAACCCAAATATTCAGATGTGTCCAGCGCATTTTATGGAGGACTGTTTCCTGATCCTGGTAGAGTAGACTACAATGCCGGCTGTTCTGACTCACAGACTGTAAGTATGTTTTTTTTATATTTAAAGAATTTGCCACTGACGATTAAAACGCGAGTTTTTCGGGCAGTGTAGAGTAGCACTTGTTGTTTGTCATTTCTCCGATCACAAATGCAGACATGGCTTTGTTACGCTCCGGCCAGACAGGGCATCACAATGTGGTAAGGGGCGTAACATTTCCGTCTCACGCTTGAGGTATTCGGCCAATCACAACGCACTGGATAGCTGGCCAATCAAAGCACACCTCGTTTTTTCAGACCAATGAGCTTTGTAAAAATCGACGCGTTTCAGAAAGGCGGGGCATAGAGGAGAAACAATAATGTACAGTATGTGAAAAATAATGTGTTTTTTTTTACCTTAAACCACATAAACACATTTTGACACAATGATTTTCCAACAAACTCTGACGTGGCCACGAACCGTTGCATGACGATGCGCATATTTCACTTGAAGCGTGCTTCACCAAAGACTATAGAATACCCAAGACGTGTCACTCGTATAGTTTTGAATGGGGAAAAATGCAACGCTTAACATGGCCGCTCAATCACAGGAAGCCCTGCCTTCTGAGCAACAGAGCCAATCGCTAATCGGTAAAGTCAGCGCGTCACTGCAGCTGCCGTTAGAAGTCCTGGTTGCTATAGAAACAGTCAGCGTTCTGAGACGGTTCTGTGCGGTGTGAGTTGGCCTTTTACAATGTAAGTCTAAAGGTTGTGATGAATATCTGCTACACTTGGGGCCTGTCAAGTAAGCCTCACAGGAAGCCTTGTAGGTAAAAGAGATGCTCTTTGCATGTTGCAGATGTTCTCTTAACTGACAGCTGTAAGAGGGAGTCCCATGTTCAGGTCTGACCACATATCTTCCCACCTCAAATATGAGTTCATGACCAAAATCAATTGGTTTTGTTTTGACATCATGTTGTGTCTGAAGCTGCTGGAGATATTTTGAGAATTCAGTGCTGAGCTCTGGGTGATCTGTAACTCTGTAACTACATAGAAAAAATAAGTAATTATGTCTGCATCCTGTGTCTGTTTTTTTAAATAAAACTTCCTCATGTTTGGTTCTCAGTGTTATTTTAACTAATTTAGTCAGAGGAAAGTACTTATTAGCATTAATTGTTTTTAGATTCCACTTGTTTTGATATTTTGTTATCCATGCAATTAAACCATAATCAGTTCCTGAAGAGCCACAGCCCTGCAGAGCTTAGCTTCAACTCTAATTTAACATGCCTGAGTTGTATTTTTCTTACACAAACGCATTGATTCTGCTCAGAAGGCCTTTATTTTATGATGGATGGATGCACTTTTTTTTGTTTCAAAATCTTAAACCCCATTCATGGTCATTATAAAGTTTGGAAGAGCCAGACATTTTTTTTTAAATATAACTCAGATTGTATTCTTCTGAAAGAAGAATGTCATAAACACCTAGGATGGCTTGAGGGTGAGTAAAACATAGGGTAATTTTCATTTTTGGGTGAACTATAAGGCCAAAAATACATCTGTGGGTCAGGTAGAGAGAGAGGAGTTAGATGTGTGGATGTTTCAGCAGAGCATTACTTCATAATCGCTGAAGATGTCAGTCATACAGCGTGAGTTTATCAGTGACTTGCCAAAACTCTCATTATAATCAGTGGTGCAGTCTATGCTGCACAATGCATTTCTTATTTACATTGTGTTTGCAATGTTAGTTATGATGAAAGCATTCGTGAGAGTGCAGAACTTGAGTTGCAATGACGAGATCACTGTACAGGTGCATCTCAATAAATTAGAATGTCGTGGAAAAGTTCATTTATTTCAGTAATTCAACTCAAATTGTGTTTGATGCACACAATGCACACAGACTGAAGTAGTTTAAGTCTTTGGTTCTTTTAATTGTGATGATTTTGGCTCACATTTAACAAAAACCCACCAATTCACTATCTCAACAAATTAGAATACTTCATAAACATTTTTAGTGAATTGTTGGCCTTCTGGAAACCATGACTAGGGACTCCAGTTATGAACAAACAATGAACAACGTCAAGTGTGATACAAGTAAGACTTTATTTACTACATAAACACTTAAACTAGTCTAACATACTACATAAACACTTAAACTGGTCTAACATACACATATACACACACACACAGATACAGTTGGTATAGGAAAGGGTTAAAGCTTAGGCAGTAAAAAGAAGAGAAATACAATAAAGCATGAAGCTATGGTACCATTTGATATTCAGCAGATCTACTGCCTGAAGGAAACATCAGATTCTTAGTTCAAACACACCCTTGTAAAAAGGTGCAAATGATACCTAATGTATCAATTAATAAGACTAAGTTTGAATACTTGCATGTCTCATCTGTCTGAAAGAGAGGCTTGATGCAATCTGAAGGTTCAAGTTGATCTTTGCTGAAGTTGGTTGATGAAAAAGAACCAGTTTTGAGTCAGAGAATCTTGGTGAATGGAAAAGCCAAGGCCGAAGCCTGGCACGAGCTTAGGATGTCCTGGAGCGTTGTAGCTCACATTTTCATCTTCTCAGAATTCAACCAAACCACCGACTCTGGGCGGGTCACTAATGTGAGGCCTTTAAGGTCTGAGAAGATTCACACCTCTCAAGATGGGCTTGTCCAATGAGAAAGGCTGAAATCCCAAGCGGGAGTTTGGCAATACTGGGGAGTTTTATGACCCTTTGTGTGGAAGCATGGTAATTTGCATATGGAACTTGAATCGAAATTACTAAAGATTCTCAGGACACTAATATATTGCCTATGTACCAACATATAATATACACTCTCGTTTAGATCATCAGAAGGTGAATTCATAGATACTAAACATGATAGGATTACATATAGGTAAGATGACAGGAATGAGTGTTTCCATCATAAGCCTGCATAAAACAGTATAAAATCTCAAAGACAACATACACAATGACACTGAAGGATATGTGTGTTCATTCAAAGAAAGGTTTTCCTATGGATTAATTAGAAAAGAGTCCATTTCTACTGTGCACTGTCTCTCTTCCTTTGGAAAAGGCAGTGATTTTCCCTGCTCACATTCCTCTGGGTCATAAAACCAGTGATATCAGCATTAGTTGCCATGGGGACCGGGGGAGCTTGGTGTCGTTGCAGACATCCTGGGGTGTTACGCATTTCAGGGGAAAGGTCCATAGGTCCTCATATGGCTTGTTAACTGAGGGGTGTTACAGAGTATTTGTCAAATATAGATAACAAAATATATATTGTGTGTTTGATTGGTCCAGACGCTACAAATTACTGAAAGAAATGAACTTTTCCACGACATTCTAATTTATTGAGATGCACCTGTATTCATGCCCTCAACCGCTATAATCAACACTTTTCACGATTAGTTCATCTTGACGGCTGTAATAGTAAAAGCGTAGTACACATTTTCGAGAGCGCTCCACATGTAATACTTATTTCATATACAAAGCTAATCATAGCAGTGGGCATTTACATTGAGGTATAGCAGACACACCCCTTCCAACAAAGCGTTCAAATGAGAGGGCTAAAATTATGGTAGAAAATGGCCTGTTAAATTATGACAATATTTGATGTAAAAATAATATAATGTAAGTGCACCTCATGAAACATAAAATAATAATAAAAATGCAGTTCATGACCCCTTTAAAGGTACCAAAAGCAAGTTTGTTTCATGCCTTATGGTGCTCTGACAAAACTTGTCCTCTACGGCTTTCAAACTATATTGGTGCTTCCACATTTTTAAATTTTCTGTTGCATGGTCATTGCATTTCTAAAGGGATTGAGTCAGCATCGGAGTACAAATGAAACATTCATTCATACCTTTAGAATCACACAAATAAACAAATATTTTTACTTTAAAACATTTAAAAAGACAGATCAAGAAAAGTAAGCCATTCAGACAAAATCAGTCATTTAGTGATTGGTAAATGCAGTTTAATTCAATACAGTAGATAAACTTGTTGCATTAAGAAATTTTGCTCACCATTTTAGTTATTTTATTGTATTGGCATTTGGTTAACTTAGCAAAGAATGTGCTACTATCACTAAAACTAGTATTACTTTGTTTAGGATAATGATAATAAGCACAAGAAAAGGAAATTGAACAGTGAGTTTGAAAGATTCAAGTTTTAAAGAAAACAAATTTACTTTCCTAACAGCCTTTATATCCATCACCACGTCAATCACTGTGTAATTCTACGTAAATCTGTGTAAATCAGTTCTAAATTGATTGTATTACATGCATTCTTAATCTTGTTTTTCCTGACTTTCTATGCCACTCTCAAGTTTGTCCACCGTCTGAACGCCAAGGTAAGAAAATATCTGTTTTCATTAAAAAATTGTTCCTGACACCATAAGAGCAATCAAAGCTAGCAGACAGTAGGTTACACCAGCCTTTTCTCCTCCAGACCTCACAAAAGTTCTGGTCATTTCACTAATTTCTTCAGAATTTGCCATTTGCCAAGAATCTGTGTTTCCCACTCTCACCCAGGAAACATTGCCTTCTGTCATTACAGCTATAGAGCTTTTCTCAATCATGCCAACCAGCGGTGGGCTTGTGAATGGTGGGAGACGGACCGGTTTTAACTGACCACCACTGAATGCATCAGACTGGACACAGTACAATATCTGACAGCCATCACTAATGGCAGCAAGATGTTGGCTGAACTGAGGTGGACAGCGATTTTGACCATTTGAGAGAGGGTTGCCAGATTGGCAGCTGAAGAAACCACCAAATGGCACAGAGGATTTTTTTGCTGTTACATAATCATTGCTCAAACAAACCTTGATTCCATTAGACAAAAATTTTTGAACAGAGAAATTTGGAGGACAGCTGTAAGATTTGGTCAATGGATTCTGCAAAGATGGACCATATAGCCCTCCAAAGAGGGATCCAGAGGTCGAAGGGCTTTTCTGAGTTGTGGAACACCAGTAGATGTCCACCCTTGCACGACGGACACGATAAACATCAGCACACGTATCATCACAACATTTACGTAACCCTAAGAAACCACATGAACGACAGGTTTTTTGGCATTCATAATTTTTATAGCCACTATCTACTGACTCAGAGCGTAACAGGGTGGTATTGTACTGCTGAGGGCAAGAATAATCACCAGTAGCTGGGTTTTTCTGTGCCTGTTCATTACAGATAACATTTCCATCTGATGTCAGTGGAGTGCATCGTTGGTAAACGCCACCAAAGTTAAAATTAGTGACTGAACCATCACAAGATGCATCATCTACATTTGCCTGAAAGTTGAAATTTGGGGAATCTGGACTGATACACCCTGGAATGGTATTTACTTTATAGTATTGCTCTGCAGCCTGAGAAACGAACAAAGCTATTTTATTTACTGTTGGAACTGGGAGGTCTGGTAATGTCGCTGGATTAAGAAAATAGTGAATTGGCAGCCCGGAGCGGTCAATAGCCACCAGATTATTGAGCGTACTCTCTTGCCACTTCTGCAGAGTGATGCCTGGGTAGAATAAAGCTCCTCCATGGCTCTCAGTTACAGAATATGTGATGTTACCTTCATAACCGCTGGTTTCATTGTTTTTTTGGGATACACTGGCACCAATTTCAAATTTAATTTTTTTAAAAAAGTTAAATCCTGCTGACGCAGTAACAGAAGACACGTCTGACTGACTGTTAGATACATAAGACATTTTTAAATAGTCCTCTTGCACCAAAGTGGCACCCGCATCCATACTTGTGATTACATGGGTGCCATAATCAAGAATGAGTTTCTCTGACAAGTAATTTGCTAGACGTATTTGATTGTTTTCAATAGCTGCTGCGATTTCCTCGGCCTGTTGAGCAAAGCGGACGTCCAGAATGAAGTCAGGATATGCCTTTACTGTGTACAGATAGTTACGGACCTTTAAAAAAAATACAACAGAAAAAAGTATAAGACAATCTTATGAAAGGTCTATTTTAGTATAAGGGGAAAAACATGCATACTTAAAACAAATATGTTTTATGATTTAAGTGAAAAGTATTAAAAAATTAATATAAAATATATATTTTATTTATTTTGTAATTTTATACTATTTAAAACTCTTGACTGCATTGTTTTTTATTGGACTGTTGTTTTGACTTACTTGAACTCGTGCTGTTGCAGATTTGTCTCTCACTTGGTGGGTCTTTATACGTTGATTTTCTTTAGAGAATTTTCCATTAAGCATCTTCAAATAAGAAGCCTCCACATTGATGGAGCTTGAAGTGGAGCTTGTCTGTTCCAGCCATGACATGATGATCTCAGAGTTTGTTTCTACTGCGCTTACTTTCTGTGGAATGACGAAGACTTCATCTGGAATGAGATAGACACCATCTTCTGTGGTCTGACACTGGGAATAGCTCAGATTCATCACCCGGCCCATGTCTATGTTGCGCAGGTTATCCCAGCCTCCTCCTGGTAGAACCTCCAGCGCTGTTAAACTTGAGTTTATGCGACACAAATTAAGTCCATTACTGGGACGAATGAGTGGTTGAAGATTGCAAATACTGATACAGCAGCAGAGCACCAGCAGACAGAAGGCTCTCGACTCCATGATCATCTGGTGTGCTGTGTAAAAATGCATTTCTCTCTCAGAATTGCATCTCTTATTTATAGTAAGGTTGTGCTAGGATTGTGTATAGTACAGGGTGTGAGGGTTTCACTGAACAAGTTTATGCAGTAAAACAACAAGAGGTCTTATAACGTTACTTTTAATTTGTTACTTGGCAACCACATGAATTCAAAAATATTTCCTGCTCAACCGTATTTTGTTATAGAACAGTGATGATCATCATGCCTCCACCCAGAGTGATATAACATTACAAATATTCTCATATTTTTCTACTTTATCCAATTAATGTACATTAATCAGATATGAAGAGTGCTGTTTTTGCACTTTTGTTTTTGATGAGATGTAACTAGAATAAATAATTTCAAATTTGCATGAATTTGTCATAATATAATTTACTTAAATGACAACGTTCACAATGATCATCCCCATTTCATTTCAAACATGGTAAATATAGGAAACATTTCCATTATAAATACACTAGAAAGTGTGACAACTTTCCTTAGCTGCTCAGCCATAATACTGCTAGAAAACGATGAAAATGTGGATGTTATATATTAAAGAAGCTGAAATCTTTAGATAGGAAAAGAGCTTGAACTTCCTGCTAAGCATGAGAAATTTTAAATAATAAATACTAAATCAATAAGGTTGATAATTGTTGAAATAAATGCATGTTGATTTTTTTAAGAAAATGTTTCACTGTCAAATAGAACTTTCACTTTTAAAAAAAATCACTGACTCAACATGCAGTTCAACATGATTACATAATTTACATTCAATTCTGTCTGTTGTTTTAAAATTCGACTCTCTACACCATCCTTATACTGTGTGTGTGTGTGTGTGTGTGTGTAGTACAGTAATTGCATCTCCACCTATGGGCAGTAAAAAGAATCCACATGACAAGACAAACAGCTAATGCAATTATACATAATTGTATTGTCCAGTAGACATCTCGGCTATTGTACTTCCTTATTAGTCATATGTTTCACCCTGCAGAACTGATTATGGGATTAATTTATTTTTTACTGTTGATGAGAAAAGTACTGTCTAAACATGTTGAATGATTAAGGCAATAGATATATGCACATTTATCATGATCTAAAAAAACAAACCAAAAATAAAATATATATATGTTTTTAATCATTGGTCACCAGTAAATAATTCTGATAAATGATTCTTGCATATATTCTAAAATAATATAAACTTATGACATTATTGGTATAAGTATTAAGTCATTATTGTTATCATGGCAAAAGCAACAATAAAAATCATCTTGTTTTGCTATACTTTATTGGACACTTGTTTTGAAGTGTTCTCTTCCACTGGGTAGATGTTCCAATGTGATCTCATGATAATTTATATGTATTTTACGTCAAATGTGGTTCTACAAAACGTACATTTACTTACGTTTTTAGCATTAAAACGTACAATACTTACGTATTTTCAGCATCTAAACGTACAAATACTTACGTATCTTCAGCCTTAAAATGTACAACACTGACGTATAAAAATTAATCCTTATGAATATTGAAATCGCGGCATTAATTTTATTATTATTGTTGTTAGTTAGTTGTCATATCAATGGTCTTGCGTTTTCAATTGCATTATTAAATTGTTTACTCGTTTACTTAATATGAAATTATAACATTTCGTTCGGTTCTGTGTGATTTCTGCTGCCAGCTCGTTTCCAAGAATAAGCCTGCATAATGTTAAACAAGACTACACTTTAGTTTAAACCCTTAAAATAAATAACATTTCTGCAATCGTTTAACCGTTACTTGTCATGTAATGTTTACTTTGTTTGCCATGGGACACAAAAGGCTCCGACATGCTGTGACTGACAATAGAACCATAAAATGCAACATAATTACGAAATTAAACTATTTTATTCATGCGCTGTACTCGAGTGAGGAACTATGACGTCACTTTGTAGGCGGATCGGTTGTTAGCGTGACAGAGTCAAAGGTTCCCTCGACAAAAAACCTATAGGATTTTTCCATAGGCTTTTGGATTATCGCAAAAAAAATAAGCTGTGTTCAACCATATAGTTCATGAAACTTACACGTTTTGTCCATCAAGATCATGTTCACAAAATAATATAACTTTGATTAATTTTGAAGCCTAAACAAAAGCGCCAGAACTTAAAAGCTAAACTTAGGCTATAAACGAACACATCCACGGTCGCTCGCCTTCATGTCACCACCACCACGCTCCCGACAATTTATTTCAGTGAAAAGGATTTACTCTGTATATGAAATTTAATCCACGCTACATTAACCTTTTCATATAAACTGGATTAAATACAAAACTAGAGCCCAACTAAAACTGAAATGAGACATTTATAATAAATAGTATAGTGAATAAATGAAATAATCATAACTTAAAGGACATATGAAAGCACGTATTTCTGTACATTTCGAAATAAGGTGCCATAAAAGTCAATAAATCCTTGATTAATATGAATATTTTAATTAAAAACGTGTCTCCACCTACTATTCAATAGTGCATTTCATCTAATAAATAACAGCAGTGATTTGAGTTTTTGGATATGGTAAGATTAAACTTATTTTAGTGAATAAAGTACCACATTTCAGCTATCATTTTGTTAGGGTGGGTACACAAAATGTTATTTTATCCTTGCTTCTAGGAAATCCTCAATCTATATGCTTTCTAGTGCTGTGTTCAAAATATCGATACGACGATGTATCGATACAGCTGGCCCTGTATTGATATTGTGGCACGTGTGCAGCAGTGGACCGCTCTTAATTTGTTTAACATTTTACAACGTTTAAAATTTAGAAGAAAAGTGCAAGGTTTCTAAAAAAAGAATGAATAGAGCATATATAGGCTACAACAAGGTTTAATCTGGCCGCAGAGGAACACAACTGGGTTGCCTGATATAAAGAGACGTAATCCCCGAAACAGAGCTTCACACTTGCGCAATACGGAAATATCTGCTAAGTGTGCTACTTATCTTTGTCAACCTGACTGTGGATAAACGCGCTTGCTTTCTGAAAACAGCGGTTAGCTTGCAGTTTAGCGATCTCCACTTCAATATTCTATTCTCAGAAAAGTGTAATTCATCAACTGTTCATTTACAACACAGAGCGAGAGAGAGAGAGAGAGAGAGAGAGAGAGAGAGAGAGAGAGAGGCTGTGTATGTATGAATTACCACCGTTTTGGCGCATTTCTCTATTAACAGTGAAGTGGCTTTAATTCATTTAGAAACAATGATGTTACCAGCTCCTTGTTGAGAAAGATAATGTAGCTCTTGAGCGATTAAGCTATTCAGTTGATAAAACTGCGGGGCAGCGCTAAAAAGTTCGGCAAAAAACTACGGGATAAACACAAACATGAAACTTGTAAATAAAATAATCTGATATATAGCGTATGTACAATTTAATAACAAATAGCCTAGTTTGATATATGAATTTGGTGTTCGTCAACGATTGCATGCGGTCGGAGATTCACGTGTTTATAGCTCCATAAAATAACCTACTGGAAGCTCTGTAGTTTTGCTGTATAGGCCAATAGATAAAAATATTAAAATTACAAACACACAACATTTTAAGTTACATCCATTTCTGAAAAAAAGAATGTAGGCCTAGTAATTGATGTTATATATAACTACACACGCCTGATTTTTGTTTTAATTATCCATCGTAAAAAATAAAAAAATAAAAAAAAACATTTGCAATCAAGACTGAAAAAAGCCAGAAGTGAATGTAAAGCAGATTTGGCCCAGACTCTGTTGCTATCTGTGAAGCCAAGCATAAGAATAGCCTACTAATGTAAATTTGTTAACCCACAGTAACACATTTTAACAGATTAATCGCATATTTTTTCGTTTGCTGCATGCTTTTAAAAACACAATAAAAAAAAATTTTTTTGAGGAAAATAAAAATATGTCTCATATAAATTGCATTTTCAGAAATAATAACGGCAGGTCTAATAATGTTATAATGTACCAACATTATAAACACTATAAGATATTTTAGTTGCCCTCACTTTACAACAAATCCTTTAAATGTAACCGTATCAGAACAGAATAAGAATTTAAAAATATATAATTCTAATGGATAAATATAATTGCAGTATATAATAATATATGCTTAGCAATAAACATGCCAAAACAAATTAATTTATAAAGAAACATAAGGTAAAGTTGGGCATACCTCTCTCAGGCACAAATCCAAATGTGTCCATATTCGTGATGTAGCTGAAGCTAAACTATTAGCCTTATTAGGTAAAATAGGCTTTGTAGTTCACGCGCGTTCCAGTATCGACGGAAAAATATCATAATGAGCAAAAATATGCCACAGTGGACCGGGTCCAGGGCTCTACGGATACTTTTCTTCACTTTCATTTAAAAAATTTAGGAGCACCTTCTAATCAGTAATCAAAAATTCTGATAAAAAAATTAACCTTCCCATTACGAGGTGATAGTTGACTCCTTAAAGTGATGTCTAGAGAATTTAGTTTTTACCTTTGTAATGGCATTTTTCTAACTTTATTAAAAGTATGTCATCTTTTATGTCAAAATCAAAAATATATATTTATAAGCTTTATAACATTTCTAATTAAAACAACGGAATAAAAACAAGTAGAATAAGAATAAGTTACCAATCAAATGAAATCCACGTTGTTATTCTCTTCATTATTTACCTATAGCGGCTAATGAACCGGAAGTCTCACCCATAGGCTTACTTCCGCGTTGAAGAAAAAGGTGGATACGACTGCGAGGAACAGACCCAAATCCAAGCCTTTATTCAGCAATCATCTCCATCCCGAGCAGCGAGTCCAGTGACCGTAAACAGCAAAGCCCGCGCTGACTGACGCACTCTTTACAAATTCAAGTGTTGCCGCTTCCAACCACAGGTTTTACGACAGGATAATCAAACGCACATTGAGCGAATTCCAAACCGAAATGAGCATCCCTATGCCCTACTCCCTTTGAAGGGCAGAGCCCTTGAAGTGCGTTCTTT